AGGCCCCAATTAAACGACCGAGGAGCACGCTCGCCCAATATTTTTGTTATTACCTTTGGGTCGTTTTGGTAATGGGTTGCATCTTATAAGCCCAATATGATTATCCTCAATCCAATACTTTTGAGAATGTAGTTGATATGTTGACCAAATTGATCAGCGGTGATAAGTTCAAACACTAATTAGGCTTTTTACTTGTTTATTTATGTCAATAACATATGTACTCCAATCCCGTTATGATGCAATAAATATTAACATGAGTTTGATATTTATCAATGTGGAGATTATAGAGTATGGCCATATAAAGTGTATAGATGATTATTATTATTATTATTATTATTATTATTATTATATATTATTTGATCTTACCGGGATCATAAATTCAATCAGCGGCCAACAACGCATCGTGAGTTCCAAATTCGCCGGTGACGGAGAAGAGGAATGGGTGTACCTGCAAGGCACTCCGATGCCAAAGTAAGGTTCAGAGTGAAGAGAGAAAGTAAATACAAAATAGTGAGTGAATTCAGAATACCTGACTCTCCTGCAGAGAAGGGTATTTATAGACCCTCCAATGTTGAGCCAAAGGTCATTTGTTGTGGGCATGATTGTTAGGCCCACAACGGATGACTGCCAGGATCCTACGTGTAAGTAGGGAAGACCAGCATGTGGTCTTCATCCTAGGTCAACTTCCCCACAGACTTTGGGAAGTTAATGACTTGTTCTTGAAGGCGCAAGCGCCTCGAGAAAGGCGTGAGTTTAGTTGGTGACATGTTCCCGCGTGAGGAGTACGTGGAGAACATGGTCTCCAACGACTATGGAGGATTGAGCCTGTGTTGGGCCCTCATCGATGTAGAGCTGGACTGGGCTGTGCCCGGTAGGCCAGCCCCAGGCCCAGTCTAGAACAGGAGCCCTTAAGTCGTTGCTCTCAGTCAGGGGAGTAATGACTTATAGTCAGTTCTCATGTCGAAGAGGGATAAAAGAAATCTGCGTGAGGAGAGCGTCTGCTCAGATTCGTGGTTGTGAGCTCGCGGAGCTACGCTTGTGAGGAAGCGCAAAAGTCGCTCATTGTTCCTATTAAGCAATAATGTAACTTAATATCCGTGTAAATGTTTATGTTTAGTTGCTTAACAAATTGTGAGAAAGATTTTTGTTCTTCTTCTATCTAAATCTTCTTATACTTTTGACTAATCTATAGCAATATATAAATACAAAATTTAATGTTTCATCATATAAATAGTATATATTAAAATCCATATAAATAGTTTATGGTAAAATTAAATTTATAAAAAAATACGCTGTTAATATTTTTGCGCGTTAGCGCAATAAAAAAAGCGAACAAACGGGCACAGACGTGCCCGTTTGGACGCTAGTGGAAAATAATCGAAACAATTTTGTTATAAAAACAGTCTGGGTATTCGCAGCGACCACAATTAACAAAGCAGTAGCAGTGTATTAAAATTTTGTATCAAAACCAATGACACCCTATTGCAATAATTATACCTTTAACCTTACAGTATCCAATTCTTCTAACTTCACGCAATTGAATAACTCCATGTATTTTTCCCAATTTTGTCATGTTACATGAGATAACCTTTAAATAAAAGAAATCAGAATTAAAGAAAATTAAATTTAAATTAGAGAAAATTAGAGAAGGTGTTACAAACATACCAAATATCAATATCCTCATGTCTACAATTTATCTCGACTTCCTTCTCTCTTTTCTCTTTTGTTCTTGATGAATGTTTTCTACAATTAGATTATAAAAAAATTAAAATGTGAGATGGTAGAATTATTGGACAAAATTGGAAAATAAAAAGCTACACGAAAACAATGTATTGCCTTTATATATTGTTATAGAAGATTTTACATGGAAGTTATGTGGGAAGTTATTAGTAGGGAGTTATATGAAAGATGATAGTAGTAGTTCAATGGAAGTTATTGTGTAAGTTATATATTTTAAAATAAGGGTAAATTTGGTATAAAAAGCTACACCAAAAACCAAGTATTGCCTTTATATATGTTATAGATTATATCTTAATCCCAACGATCAAACTAATTTTGTTCTAATCAGTAGATCTTTAACCGCCATGGCTCTTAAGGAAAAGAGAAAACAAATTTTGAAACATGACATTCTTGACATTGAATATAAGAGGTAATTAACACCATTAATGACATTCATGATCATACTGAAACAAAGGCTGATTCATGTCACATGGATTTGAATGGTGCAGAGTACCTTGCGAGTACAAAGACCAGAAGTTGGTTGTTCGTGTTGAAGAATCAAGCCAAAAACCAAATTCTTTAGCAATTAAAATTTTGTACCAAGGTGGCCAAACAGAGATAGTAGGCGTTAACGTAGCTCAAGTATATATAATGATTAATGTATGCTGAAAAATTCATCAAAAAATAATAATTAACCATTGGTTTATTTTTGCTATTAGAATATGAAGTTATATATTATAACTTCATATTTTTTTAACATACTGATGGAAGGGTTTATAATTACAATAGTTTATTTCTACTAAAGTATAACTAGAATATATATTCCATTTTACAGAGGCTTCAATTTTCCAATTTTTTAACACGCTTGATATATAACTTAAAATTCTTTTCATACCTTAAACTCTCCAAGCCATAATTCGTTCACAGTTTTAAATTCTTACTTGCCCTTCATCTCTCCATAGTTTGTCCAAGACACTACAAACTTACGTTTGATAATTTTCGCAATCTCTCGTGTAGGCTGAATTGTAGGGTCAAAACTACAAAAAATTTAAAGAAATTGTAAGATAAAGTCATGATTTATTTATAAATTAAAGGAAGTTATTAAAACTTACGTTTTTTGTGGACCTGGACGAATCCAAACCCTTCCATCAATGGGGTCCTTACTTCCAATTTGTGGAGCTCATAAATATTAAGTTACATTATTGCACAAGTTATTGTTTTAACAATTGATTTTAGCGACGTTGCTCGACTTGTTAAATAAGTGAGTTTTTAATGTTTATCAAATTTAATGATGTAAGTGACTCACATTTAACAAAAAATTTTGAAATTTAAGCACTAGTGAATATTTACGTCAACTAAAAAAAAATCAAATTTATAAGAGATGTGATTCATATTCTTAATACCTTAATATTTTGAATAGAGATATACCGTCAAAACTCTTCCCGATTACAATACTTAGACATTCTCCCCCAACAATATCTATTTATAAAAATATCAATGAGTTTTAATGAAAAATTCGTCAATCATTCTAACACAATAATAAATTCATTTAAAAGATATTTACAATAATATGTCTTTGAATTTTTTCGTCAACATGCTCAAAGCATGCGTGCTTCTTATTCCTTTTTATTTTATTTTATTTTATTTTCTAAAATTACAATAGTGAGTCATAAGGTAGACCAAATCAAAAGAGAAAATTAAACCTATCAATAATAATAATAATAATAAAAATAATAATAATAATAATAATAATAATAATAAATAATAATGTAATAATCCATAACAATATATAAAGGAAAAATAATAGTTTGGTGTAGCCTATTTTTTATATCTATTATGCCCTTTAACCGTTACTAGCGTCCAGACGCGCACTCGCGTGCCCGTCTGTCCGTTTTTTTATTGCATACATATAAATATAAATGATATATTTTTATTTAATATTAATTTTACATGAAAGTTATGTGGGAAGTTATTAGTAGGGAGTTATATGAAAGATGATAGTAGGAGTGCAATGGAAGTTATTTTGTAAGTTATATATTTTAAAATAAGGGTAAATTTGATATTAAAAAAAAGCTATACCAAAAATCAAGTATTGCCTTTATATATGTTATAGACTATAGATTATAGATTTTAAAACTATCGAATACATCCATTAAATAATAACCACTCATTTTTCAATTTAAGTTGTCAATTTATTTAATTTTAAAAAAAGTTAAGAAAAAAAATATTTTATAATTTGTTGTGTACGCTTTTAAAAAAATATATAAATACTATATCACAAAATTTATATTAAAAATAATTTATATTAAAAACAAAATTAAATTAAAAATATATATGTTTATATTTTAATACGTGTGCCAATTAAAAAAGCAGACAAACGGGCACAGAGTGCCCATTTGAACGCTAATAATTAAATGTGCCCATTTGAACATTAATCTATACAATATATAAAGGGAATACTTTGTTTTGGTGTGACCTATTTTTTTTACTATTTTTACCCTTATTTTATTGTGTAATTTATTTAATAACTTCCTATTATTAACTTTCATATAATTTATTATTTTTTTAACTTTCACATAACTTTTTATTATTAACTTCCACGTATTGTATTCTTTTTTTAAATTATTTTAACAAAAATTATCATTTATATTTTTATGCGCACTAAAAAACGGTGCGTGCCCGTCTGGACTCTAATAATAATAATAATAATAATAATTATTAAAAAAGTAAATATAAATAAATTAAAAAAAAAAAAAAAAAAACAAATACAACAAGTTCACAACTGACGCGTGCACCACACTACCAACATTCAACAACTGAACTCTGCAGGCACTGCTGCGTTTCTCGTCTCGTCTCTCTTCCTTTCCAGTTGCTTCCAACACAGATCTCACTGCAATTCTTCTTCTGGGTATGTCTCTTTTTCTCTTCCTTATTCTGTTTTTTTTATTTGACTTCATGAACTAAGTTAGGGGATCGATTCTATTCGGTTTTGTTCCTTTTGATTATTATAAAGTTACAATCTTTCATGAATTTAAATCAAAGGGTTATCGCTAGTTTATAAAAATAATCCATCCAACAAAGTGAATCATCATCATCCCCACCAATAATATGAAAATAGTAATAAAAAAGTTATCATTTTTATTACTTTTGATTCGATTTTAGATCAAGGGTAGTTAATTTATTACTTGGGTTATTGAAATTTGATTGGGTTTGATTAGATTTGGTGAGGAAGAAATTTGGGGTTTGTGATTATGAATTGAAGTGTTTGTTGGAGTGGAGAAATGAATGTGAGCCATGCTTCAGTTCATCCAGTTGAAGAAGTTCCAAACACTGAAGGTGGTGTTGCGGTTGCCGAACAAAACGTTAACGTGCCTCTGGTCGTGAGGATGAAGGATATTCAAGGGATGCCTGGTACTGTTGGTGGGTTAGCTTTACGCGTTTCGCAGTTTATTTTTGGTGCTGCTGCACTCTCTATTATGGCCTCCACAAGTGATTTTCCTTCAGTTACTGCCTTCTGGTAATTCGTTATGCTTATCTAATAAGTTTTTGGTTTTCTTTTTGTTATTATGTTTAAATCCTGTTTTATCTGTGATTGTGATTGTAAGAATCCTGTGAGATTGTATAGCGAATTGCGGAGTAAAATTAGTTTGTTCAAATTCAACTACGTTAAAATTAGATTGTATAGGGATATAGGCAAGAAAAGTTTATGTGGAAAATGATTTTTCCTCTATAATAGATTCTAATTTGAAACTAGAATTTGGAGCTTTTCTATCTACAATTGATTTTTAACCTCAGATTTAATTTTCAATCCACTTTTATATGAATGTATGTATGCACAAATATAAGTCACTTTACATTCAACTCATAATTATCCTGAATCAATTTTAAAAAATCAATTTTATCATTTTGCCTTAAATTATTTTTAACTAAAATCACTTTTACAAAATTAATTTGATCAAAGATAAGTTTCGCCTATGGCTTTCAGACGTTTTTAGTTTATCTAATGCTTTGTTCTTAACAATTGAGGAAGTCTAGACAGTTTGTTAACATCTACCGAAGCTGCTGACAGGACACAGAATATGGTATCAGAGTCTATCAAGACTCGTTTGGCTATCTGCTATCAAGCCACTTGAGTCACGAGAGGGGTGTATGTTGAGAGTTGATAGTTCACATTAGATGAGAGATGTTTGAAAAACTGGTTAAAAGTGAGCAACATCCTTCATCGGTTTGTCTTACAAGCTGATTTTGTGGGATTGAGCTAGATCCAACTTAAGTTCTAAAAAAGTCATGTGCAATTTTTTGTGATACCGGTTTCTATCCAAACATCACGCTAAGTATTGAAACAGTAACTGTTGTATCTTAACCCTTGATAATTACTTATACACCAGGGTTTACTTGATAAGTACTTATTCAATAAGCTATTAAATGAGTTGTATGCCTAATTGAACATGTCATTGTGTTTCTTGGCTTTATTCTTTTCCGAATCGCTCCTTTTGTTTATGAAATTCAACTAAATTGCATAAAATCTGTCTCATATTTTTATCAGTTTCCTTGTTGCGGCTGCCGGTTTGCAGACTTTGTGGAGCATTTCATTAGCTATTACTGACATATACGCCATTTTAGTAAGACGGTCTTTGCAGAACTACCGACTTGTCAGTTCGTTTACAATTGGCGACGGGGTAAGATCTCCAATAAGACTCCATTATTTTCCCATTTGAAAATTATGCATAGTTAATTAAGAAGACATGTACGTTCCCACATGCAGGTTACTTCGACGCTTATGTTTGCGGCAGCGTGTGCATCGGCAGGTATCACAGTTCTCATCGATAACGATCTTGGTAATTGTTCAGAGAACCACTGTGTGCAGTTTGAAACAGCTACAGGCATGGCATTCATATGCTGGTTCACTACAGTGCCGTCGTTTCTGCTCAACTTCTGGTCTTTGGCTTCACGGTAGTTAAAAAGAGTATCACGCATGCGTGCGCATCGATAGAAACAAGGGGAGGTTGTTTATAAAGTAAGCTTTTTGGTTTCGAGTTTGTGACTGTTGTTTGAAGCTTGTTAAGCTTAATAGTAGTACCAAATGGTGTCATTCATGTCACTCTTTTCTTGATCAAACAAGAATTCTGAATTGGGTTTTTGGAATGTGTTATGGTTTATTGATCCTAAACTGCTTGCAACTCGATATAGAATGTTGGGTGATTCTAAAACATTGAGATATTTTTTTATGTACATTTAGAATCTATAAAGTTGCTCACCTTTTTCCTCTCATTATATTCCTCGTTGACTTCACTATAAAATCAACAAGTATTGACTACCTTGAGTTCGTTGGTGTGACTTATACAAAACAGAGTTTTCAATCTAAAATAGCAAAGCAACAGAGTTTTCAATCTAAAATAGCAAAGCGGGGCGACCGACTCCAAATATAGAATAGCAAGATAACCACTCCTTGAATATTTTTTGGACTAATTATGAGTAATAACTATAAAACATATATTTAATAAAAAACTAAACAAATAACACAATATCATAAAAGATTCATAACAATCAAATATCCTTTGCAACAACATTCGATGAGTTGAGCTTATTCAATATTGGTGTGAATATAAGGGATTTTCGACTTTGACACTTATTTCATCTCTTCAATACCCAATGTACCTTGGTCGATTTAGAGCGGGGTCATGGCTTTCTCTCTCCTAGGTAGGTAGAAAGATGTTTGAAGCATTTGTTGATAGTTTGAAAAACTTTAAGGGCTGATATTATTTGATCACACATCTCATTAATATTGCTCATGATGGTTATCTATGAGACTCACCTCAGCGTTTCCCTCATTGCATCGATAAAATTTCTAAATTCTGATGCCAAAATCATTTTTTGGTAGGACCATGGACATATGTTTATCTGCCCAATGACTTAGAAGAAATATTTGAAGAGTAAGCTTACGACTTTTTAGGAAAGCTTTGGTTTTACTTTGGTGCTAGGAAGCGAAATAGGTGGTATATTGAGACTTGTGATGGTGGATTTGGTTACTAGAGATGAGAGATGTAATACCTTTAGTAAAAATGATACTTTTCTCTACTCTTATCAATTTTTCTTTGCCTTATCTCGCAGATGAGATGGTTCAAAATGATGCTTCAAATAAGATGAATGACGAGAAGTACGCCTTCACTATATGATGTCGGGTTGCACCAACTTTAGAAGAGGCTCTTATTGAAAGTGGTATTGTCAATCTGATTTCTTCAGTTCTTTCTCAGTTGAAGTGACCTGAGGTATGAGGTTCCCCCAGTATAAAGGTGATCAAGCACATATATATTGGTTTTCTTGTCGGTCGGAGGATGAGAGTGTGTCTAGATCACTGTTGAGGGTAACTGGTGAAGGTTCACGAAGAAGGGGAAACAATTGTGAACCTTCTCTCCGTGAACCCGTATTTAAGAGGCTTCAAGATTGGAGAATCATATTCGAGAAGGTTGGGTCACAAAGAGAGTCCATTATTGTCCTCGGTGAGCTCGTCTCCATTGTTTCTTGCCTATCCCGATATGAGAACATCTAGAGAGATTTAGTCTAATATGTTTCAAGTCGACTATGCATGTTTCGCGAGTAAGGTCGAAAAGGTCTGCTAAGAAGAGATGGTAGAAACATCTTACCATATACACAAAGGTGTTGTTGTGTTTGCTTTTGAAGATGCAGGGAAGGGTGAGGTTTTGGAGCTTAGGTGTCTTTGAAAGGAAAAAAGAAAGGCTTGAATAGCATTTTGGAGTGTTGGTTTTTGAAAGAGACATGTTTCTTCATGAACTTGTTATGTAAGCTAATCTCTTGAGAGAAGTAGCTGATGAGGTGTGAGCATTTGGGTACTCTAAGAATAATGGAGAGGGACACGACCTTGAAGTCGGCCCAAATGGCATTGTTTGACACATAGACTTTTTTAGCCAATGTAAACTGGTATTTATATTCTTCTTATAAGTCGGTAAGGGAGCTAGACAAAACTCTGAGGGAAATCCATAGTGCTTTGAAAGTAACCCAGGACGAATTGCGTGAGATGAAATCTAAAAATGGTTCATTGATAACGCGAAAATATATCTATAAAATGACGTATGTTTTAACTAATGTCTGACCGATTTCACTCCGAATTCGGGGCATTCCATGCCATTTGTCTAAGTATTATGCAAGTATTCGAAGAACATGTCCAAGCAAAGCAATATGAAGAAAAGGAGCAAAAACAAGTGAAAAATGCATGAAAAACCAAGTAAAAACCAGCAGAAACGAGCCTGACTGATATGACGACCGTCACACAGCTGTTACGACCGTCATGCGTGTGACGACCGTCACACAGCCATGACGACCGTCATGCAGCCAGAACGTGGCAGAATTAAGTCACGTGCAATTTCTCCCCTCAAAGACCAAAAGTGTGGCCACTAACTCCTATTTTTTCTGCCTCAAACCCACTTCCTGAGGGAATAACCGTTAGATACCCTCCCTCTATAAAAGGAAGAGGTTGGGACCTGAAAAGGGGGCCGAATTCAAGACAACGAAGTGCTGCCAATTCGTCTTCAGAGCAACCTTTCCATTATTCTATTCTTATTTGTTTCTCTTTCCTTTCTCTGCATTCTTTGGTATTTTGTAATTTCTATTTCCCTTGTACGATCAATTGGCACCAAGACCAGAATCCTGCCAACATTTGTGGAGGATCTGCCCAAAGGCCAATTGGAATATTTTACAAGTTTTAAATTTTAATCGTAATTTCAGTTTTCATTATGATGCATGTTATTAGTTTCTGTTCTTATTTATGTATTGCCATTTCTATTTCCATGTCTAGCTAAACTACTGTAATCGATATGTAATAATAATTCAGACGGAATTTGATAATAATTGGCGTAGTTTTTCTCTTTTCAAAAACTCAGTTATGGTTTTAGTTTTTAATCAAAATTCTAAATAAATCTTTGTCACGACAGTGAGAAGCTATTTACGGTGGTTTTGCCACGACAGTGGGAAACCATATTAAGGTACAAACCAACAAGCGACAGCTGAGGTAAGGCCAGATAGTAAAAACTAGGCATTCGATTTAAAAACAGCGAAAGCGCTTTAAAAAGGATTAGAACTTAGAGATTTTCAAAAGGTAACTTTAACCCCGAACGGGATAGCGAAAGCATACGTTCCGCCTTAGAGTTGCGACTAGCGTCAACAACCATCGTGAGACAAAAGTCTTTTAATCACTATTTTCTTCTTAAACTAAGTTTGAAAGCAATTAATACGCCAATAAGTTGTCAAATCCCCGAAGAACAAAATTATTGCATATCGATTCATAAATTCATATCTTAAGTAAAACCTTAGTTCCCTTTAGTTTACGCATTTATTCTGCCATTATTCAACTTGAAACCAAACCGACCTAGCTAAACACCGTAACACCCGATAACACTAGATTGATTACGAGTCCCTGTGGGATCGATATCTATTATTACTACGCGATAGACTGTGCACTTGCAGTTAGATTTGTTAGACATAGAAAGTCGCGATCAAGTTTTTGGCGCCGTTGCCGGGGACCCGTTTAGTCAATAGTGTAACCTTCTGTTACGCCGTATAGACTAGGTTAACAATTTCATTTTTCCTTTACTAGTTCTGTCGATTGTATGCCAAGTAATCGCCCACAAGGGGATATCTTAAAACCTTCAGTCGCAGAACTAGAGCGCTTCTTACATTTAAGAAGCTGCATCATTGAGTACCAACTAAAACATAACATTCCCGATCCTCTCACTCCCATTCCCAAATCCGAAGAAGAATCAAAGATGGCTGAAGGACCTCAAAACAAACCGCTGAAGGCATACGCTACACCCTCTCAGATGGAGCCTAGAAGTAGCATTGCTGCCCCAGCTATCACTTGAAACGGTTTTGAGCTGAAACCCTCATTGGTGTCAGCTGTACAACAAAATCAATTCTCAGGAAATGCAACTGAGGATCCAAACGAACATTTAACGAAGTTTGTACAATACGCAGACACAGTGAAAGCAAATGGAGTGACTCCAGACGCAATAAGACTTCGTCTTTTCCCTTTCTCTCTTAGAGATAGAGCGTGGACATGGTTACAATCCTTACCATCCAACTCCGTTACGACGTGGGAACAGTTGAAAAACGTCTTCTTAGCGAGATATTTTCCGCCAAGCAAAACTGCTATGCTTAGAGCTCAAATCAACGGATTTCGACAAAAAGATACTGAATCTCTTTACGAAGCATGGGAACGGTTCAAAGATATGATGAGAACATGTCCTCACCACGGTCTAGAAGACTGGGTGACAATCCATACTTTCTATAATGGGCTTTTATACAACACCAGATTGACGGTAGACGCCGCCGCGGGCGGTGCACTTATGGATAAGCCATACGACGAAGTCTATCAACTAATCGAAAACATGTCTCAGAACCACTGCCAATGGGGAGGTGAACGCACTCCAACAGAGAAACCCGCAGCGAAAGGTGGGATGTACGAGATCAGCAGCCTTGAAAAGTTCAACGCTAAAGTAGATGCTCTAGCACAGAAAATTGACAGTCTGACCGTTAACCCCACTGCAACCATCGCTGCAGTAACTCCAAACTGCGAGTTATGCAGGATCGCCACTCATAATGCGCCCGAATGCCCATTGTTGGCCGGAATCCCACCAGACCAAGTGAATTACGCTCAAGGAAATCCTTACGCGAATACTTACAACCTAGGATGGAGAAACCAACCAAACGTTTCCTACAAGAACGATAATGCCTTGCAAGCACCCGGTGCTCCGCCAGGATATCAGAAACCAGCTGCTGCCCAGACTGCCCCTAGGAAATCAAACCTCGAGTTGATGATGGAAAAATTCATAGCTACTCAAGCTCAAACAAACAAAGAATTCCTAAATCAAAACATACACACTAGCGAGCAAATTAAACAGCTGACCGGAAAAGTAGACGCTTTAGCCACCCACAACAAAATGC